TGCTACAGTGATTTGGTTCACTCTGGTTGTCCCTGGTCTCCCCAAATTTCAGCTTTTTTTTTTTTGTTGTTGTTGTTGTAAATGACCAAATAAATAATGAAATGAAATGAAATTTTCACAGACATTTAAAAGTGTGTTAATTAAAAGATCCTTATCTATTTTCGTGTAGTTATATGGAATCCTGTTGTTGATGTTGTTAATATAAAATCTAGGACGACAGTGAAACCTAAAAGTAATTGAATTATGATCAGATTAAAAAATATCATTACCACAAGCAACTGAGTTGGATATATCTTGACAACATATGACAGGATCGAGGATGTTATCACAGTGAGAGGGAAACATATTGCATTGAAAAAGATGAAAGTTATTAATAATTGAATTCACGAAATATTGTTCAATATTATTGCTGGTAGTTGCAGTTGTATATTTTGACCATTTTATACCTGGTAGATTAAAATCACCTAAAAGAATAAGTTCACAGCCAGTGTAATTAAGATATACATCATCTAAAGAAGATTGATTTAGTTCTTCAAAAACTGCAAGTTTGGATTTAGGATGAATATAACCCAACACAAGAATGATCTTTTTTCTTCTAGAAATGGTAATCTCAATGAAGATGGCCTGTAAGTTATCCTTCTCTAGGTGATAAAGACGTTGGGATAAAAGGTTGGAATTTACTAGCATGAGCACTCCTCCCCCTCTAAGACCATTATTTCGGTCTCTTCTATATAGCGTAAAATCCTTCACGGAAACTTCAGCATCAAGAACGCTGTTATTTAACCAGGTTTCAGTAAAACAGACAATGTTATATTCGTTATTTATAAGATGAGAACGTAAGGTGCAGTTGTATGTTATAAGTTTGTTCTTCAGGCTTCTCGTATTCTGGCAATAAACATTCAGGCTTTGAGATTTACTGGAGTTCAAAATTGCAGCTTCAGGTCCTGGGTTAACAATGATAACGAATTGGTCTCAATAGAATTTCCAGCACCAGCTATTGAGGATCTTGCTATCATCACGGATCCCCCTACTCGTGAAGAAACAGCCGAAGCCATAGCAGCCGTAAAAATAAAAAAGGAAGCTGTATTGGACTGTGCTGTTGCTGCTGAAGCTCTGCAGGGAGGAGGTGATTGCATGATCGACATCATTCATGCTTTTTGCAAAGAGGTATACACTCTCACCTCCACGACAATGGGTCACTAATTATCCCTCTACCTAAGAAAGGCGACCTCTCCCTTTTGTCAAATTAATGTCTATTGCAGCAAAAGTCTACAATAAAATCCTGATCAACCGTCAAACCACATATTGATCCTGTGCTAAGGAGCAACAAAGCCGGTTTCAGATGTGGTCGTAGCTGTGCGCAGCAAACTCACATCTTGATGAGGATCATGAATGGTTTTAAGGAATACCAACTGCCCCTGATAGTCACTTTCGTGGACTTCAAGAAAGCCTTTGACTCCATCAACAGGACAGTTATGTTTGCAGTACTGCGTCATTATGGCATACCTTTACTAAGGCCATCCAAGTACTCTACAACAATTCAAGTAACTGTCATAGTGGATTGGAACATCTCAGACACATTCCCAGTAACAACGGTTGTCCTGCAGGGTGATGTCTTAGCCCCTTTTCCGTTCATAATTTTAGTGGATTTCCTTGTCTTGAAATCATGTGGAGCCGAATCTGGTGTTATGACAAATCCACGCAGATAAAGGCGATACCCAGCTATAATGTTGAATGACCTGGACTTTGCCGATGACATCGCCCTGCTTGAGTCCTCAATGGCACGGGCCCAGTCACAGATCTCCAAAACAGTAGCAGCTGCAGTAGGGTTAGGTCTAGTTATTAGTGCTCCGAAAACAGAGTACATGACCGCTAATTACAACTTACAGCCTTGAAGATTATGGCAATACCATCAACCATGTATCTGACTTCAAAAATATATGGGATATAGGATGTAATCAAGTGCCGAAGATTTGAAAGGTCGAAAAGCTCTGTCTTGGTGTCCATTTTGAACATCTCTAGAGAAGTACATATTTGCCTATCGCCACCAAAGTAAAGCAGTTTAAGACAACTTGCGTCACGGTTCTCTTATATGGCTGTGAGTCTTGGATTATATCTTTAGTGTAAGTGTACGATGAGATGATAAAAATACACCACACTAATTTATATGTAGAACTGTACAATTTATTCCAAGTGAAAAGCGTATTTACAAAAACACTTGAGAAACAAGTTGATGATATACACACATTGATAGAAAGTGAAAGTAATGTGTCTGTAAAAGTACAAATGTATGTGATATAGCATCACCTTTCATACCATCTGACCAATAAGGATAAGTAATTGCCTGTCCTTGTCTAGTACCTGGGAAACTCATCAACATTCCCAAATGATGTGTGGTCACTTGAATTAAGGCAAATGACCTTAAGGTAAATGACCTTCCTAAAATTGGTGTATAACCCATGAAGTTGAGATATTAGTTAAAAATGCAAGGTATTATTTACACACAGATCCTATATACAAATTTACAGATGGTAGTACTGCTACATATCCAAGGATATGGAAAGCAAAATTACGCTTTTGCAACATCTTGCTTCAGAATCATACTGAACATCAAGCGAATAGACAAGATTCCAGAAAGAATACGCCATGTATGTACCAC